ACATTCAAAACTGACCAAAACATCAGCCAGACAGCATAGGTACTGAGAAGTGGTCTGTGGTACCCAACTGCAGAACCACTCCTTTATTGAGTGTCTTGCTAATTGCCAATAATTTCCACCTGTTTATTCCATTTGCACAACAGCAGGTGAAATTGATTGTCAATCAGTGTTGCTTCCTAAGTGGACAGTTTGATTTCACAGAAGTTTGATTTACTTGGAGTTATATTGTGTTGTTTAAGTGTTCCCTTTATTTTTTTGAGCAGTGTACAAGTTTTCTATAAATTAGAGATAGTGTTTTATTATTTTTACTACAAGTGCTAAACAGGTGTTTTGTTTAGGAAATGCCTTTTCCTTTGTGGACAATAAAGATTATTTCAAAAGCTTCATGATCTTGTTTTCTTTTTTTTCTTGTGTGTACTGACTGCTCTGTAGGGTTTGTTCTTTTTGTGTCTTCAAGGTCTGATTTGACAACATTGTTTGGTTTTGAACACAAATTGAACTATTTTGAGGCTGGAGTTTGATTTTGCTGGAAGAGCCTGAGGTTCTATGAAAGTAGTTTGAAAATTGGGTTTTGTGTTTACAGTTTAGAGAAATGGATGGATGGTTTCAAGAAACGTGTTTTAGCAAGTGAGAAAAACTGTTAGACCAGACTTCTTCCTTGTTTTAAATTTATCTGAATGCTGTTTGAATTTGTTGGGTTGTTTTCAGCATCTGGTAGAAATTTCATGTTGTCATACTCATTAGAAAAACATTTACTGAAAAAAAAAAAAAAAAAAACACCAAGTCTGAGAGGCTCATGATGCATGTGAATAAGAAAAAAAAAACGCTGAGAAATTTCAATCGTTTATTTCTCTTATATTTCATTATGACAAAAAGTCTTGAAAATGCAGACTTAAATCTGTTTAGAAACTGTACACAAGGCAAGGCACTATACACTGAATCACTTCATCACATGCCTGTCCCTTCAGACCCACCTGCTAGTCTCTGTGGTAATGTTTYACTCAAAGCTGCTTCATTTGATTAGTCAATAGAAGTGTGTACAGCAGAGACAGTCATACATACACCTCAAACTGCTGCGGCAAACAAACGTTTTGTTGAATTAATTTCTTTATATCAAACTTTTGTTTTGTAGATTACATATAAATATAATTATTTTGCAATGCACAAACATTCAGAAACTTGACAGTCTGAAGAGGAGAGTGACTAACAGGCTGACAGACCTGCTACAACTTCATAACATAAGGCCACCGTCCATATTTACATACATTAAAGGTTTCACTTTAAGGGGAACTGTTAATACGATCACTCGTGAACGTATGCATCTACTGGTTTTCTATTGTTTACCAGCAGAGAATGCAGTCTGAAAGGCTGGCACACCTCTCCACCACACACCCGGGGTCCATCGTTCATCCCTCCAGTGAAGGTTCGACTCGGGGGTAGCTGCTCCCGAGTCTCTGCAGTGTGCAAATCCAAGCAAACGAGGAGCCTGAACGACATCCTGCTGCCGCTTTCAGAAAAGTCCTCTGGCTTTCTTTAAGTTCGCCTGCTTCCACGGCGGCAGCAAGCTGTATTCTTCTCTGCTCATCTCCAGGGCTTTCTGTGGGAGCAACACAARTCAACGTCAGGGGACAGGTCACTGCACGGTTTGCAGACAACCCAGTCCATTAGTCCTGAGGCCTACAGGTGGTGGGGGACCAGAAACCACAGAGAGCACCACTCATGCATCGGGGACATCCWAACAGTTTTTAACAGATAAAACCAGAAGGGAAAAAAAAGCTCCACATTATAGTTGGGCGATTGCCTAACATCCTTTAGCTCTCCAGGTGTTTTTAAGCGTTAAATGTTTTTTAGTTAATGGACAGACCTGACACACCCCGTTCTGTGGACAACTCAGCTGCTTGTAGCCAAGATAAAGTCACTAATTTAGGATGACTTGGGTTTGAAACCAGTTTCTTAAARCATTTAACAAGAAATAATCCAGATCTGTCCAACCTGTGGACTTAGCCTGAAATTTAAACAAGCACACTTTACAGGTCCCTCCCCCTTAATCTTGACCGAGGGCACACGCTGTGCAGGGAACGGGCGTGAGCAGCACATGATTGACACTGGTGAGACAATCCTCCTGGCTCTGATTGGCTGTAGGAGCACTGYGGGGAGGCATTGGAGCTTTATTTAYTCACAGGTTATCTGTCTCAGTCTACTGTCAGGACATGGTGACAGATTTAACAAATATATAAAAGACACATTTTTATAAAAGTAACATATGATGAGATGCTTTAAAACAACTTCTGTTGCTGATCAGGTGTGGAGTGATGCACAACGAGGAGTGGTGTTGATACGCCTTGTTCAACAGTCGTGTTACTTTTCTCCCACAYGGCAAATATCAACACTGTGGACAACATGCAAATTTCAATATAGACAATTAAACTGTGTCTAAATTCAATGTAAATTTTAAAAATGTCACTCCCCTGCAAAAATCTAAAATATTGTTAAACAAACACCACAGACTGATTCCAATGGTTGATGGTCGATATATTTGTCCAATCGCCCAACCCWACATTTCAACCATTTCAGTTTAGATCAGAACATGGGCTGTGTCTCAATTCATGGGTTGCAGTCGCATTTGTTGGCTGCCTACGTCACTGCCCCGCACCGTAGGCTGTCCCAGTTCATCGGTGTCAACACATGCGGCCGACAAAAACCCGAAAATGTAGGCTGCATCTGAGTACCCTGCTCGGCCGACACTATCCCAGAAAAACAAAGACTGCAATTTTTTTTATTTTTAATTTCAAAGCAGATTTTTTTCTTTTTTTAATGACAGTGTTTGGAAATTTTTCACGGACTGAAAACGTACAACAGGTTGCCTTCAGGCCTCCCTTGAAAAAGAGATCTGCGATCTCAACGGGACTTGCCTGTTTAAACAACGGACAAATACAGTATATAAAATATAAAAACGTAGTTAAACAGCTTATCTGAAGAAACTTTGTTGTAATGAGATGTTAAATAAAATGCAGTTACAAGTACTGATACTGGAGCTAAACCCATATTATTAATGATTTTATTTATTTATTTTTATTAAAACTGAATTTTGTGAAGTTGTAACTTGTAAAAACTGAAGCGATGTGATACAAAATGTATCACCAAAGTAACGCAGAGCGTGGTCACACAAACTGATGTCTTCCAGTGGTTCCCAAAGTTGGGGTCGGGACCCAAAGTGGGGTCCTGAAACATCAAGGCGGGGTCCTGAAAATATTTTCTAAATTAATTACATTTTTGCCTTAGTTGCCTAAAATGTATAAATGCAGAATAATAAATAATAAAAGTTGACC